ACACCAAAAGGTTGTGGGTTCAATTCCCAGTCAGGGCACATACCTCAGTTGTGGGTTTGAACCTGGGTCAGGCCATGTAAGAGAGGTAACCAATCAATGTTTCTCTTTTTCTCTTCTCTCTCTAAAATAATAATAAAAAACATATCCTTGTGTGAGAAATGAAAATAAAAAATAAAAATAAATAATCTTTATCTTTTGGGAATACATATTGAAATGTTTATGAATGAAATAACACGGTATATGTGATTTGCTTCACAGTAATCCAGAGAAGAAGCAGGAAGTGGGAGAGTTGATGTTGTTTTAACTGCATGATTTGGTATACAGGAGTTCATTGTTGTATGGTTAAAATATAACAAAAAACTTTAAAAATGAAAACAAAACTAAGATGCTAGAATATTAAAATTCAGGCATCTCCCCTGTAGATTGCTGATGGGAGAATAAGTTGGTATAACTTTTATGGAAGGCAATATGACAATGTCTAAATAAAAATGCACATGTCCTTTGACTCAGAAAATCACTTCTAGAAATGCAAACTCTGTACTCACCATGTGTCATATAATACACACACACACACACACACACACACATACACATATCCCTATATATGGATTCTCATTGCAGCCTTGTTTGTAAAAGGAAGAGATTAGTAATAACCTAAATGTCCTCAGTAGGGTACTAGCTAAATAAGTCAGGGTAAATCCACTGAATGGAATACTCCATCATCATTTTTAAAGATGAGGATGCCCTTTATGTACTGATCTGAAACAATCTCCAAAATGCAGGCCTCCAGGAAAGGGAAACAGGTTTACGGGAGAAAGGGATAGGAACAAGACTTATATTTCAATGCTACCATTTTGTATCTTCTTAATTTTATTCCCTGTACATGCATTACCTATATTTTTGAAAAAAATAATCTAAGTTTTAAAAGAAATAACAAAATTAAGATAGTAAAAAAAATATAAAGGCTAGGTAGCAATATGGGAAAATATCCATAATAATGTTTGGTTTAAAGAGTATACAAAATTTTATCCACATAATAATTAAAAATACATAAAATATATCTGTTTATGATCAACTAATAGAGACACACACAAGCAAAAAGAGATGTGTTGTTAGGTGAGAGTGTTTTTTAAAAAACTTTATAGGTGTTATAATATGTATGGTAAATTACAATTTGGTAAAAAGAAAAATCAGATTTAAATCACAAAAATCTAATTTCCTTAGGGTTTCCAGAGAGATGGTTTTTCCACAAAGCAAGGTGCACCTGGTCACACTGCCAGCGCTGGGTCTGTTAGGTTTCCTGCTAGCCTCGCCAGAGGAACAAGATGCTGGACCGGTCACTGCAGTTGGTCACATCCTCACACTCAGCACCCATTCACCCCGACTCCTAGACAGTCTGTTTATTTTTGGAGAAAAGGCTTTGCACAAACAAGAAGAGGCTTTCTGGAGGTGGGAAAGCCAAGGTCTTAAATATCCTCCTTCATATGCTCAGTTTCCTTCCTTGAGTAAGGGCCCCAGTGGGAAACCGGAGGTGGCTCTTTCCAGGCAGGAAGGAGAGTCAGCCAAACCCTGGCCTTCTGCTCTGCATCCTCCCAGCTCTGCCAACCCATGGTCCACTTGCTCTTGGAGGCATGTCTCCTCCCGGACACCTGTCCCACTCATCCTTCAAAGGCAGCTGTGGATGAGTGGAGAGACCAGACTGGGAGTCAGGGACTGACTCTACCCCTAAGTGCATGACCTTACACAAGTCACTTAGCTTCCCTGAGCCTCAGTTTTCTCATCCATAAAATAATCTACCTATCTTGACATGCTGCCAGAGAGTAAATGAGATCATCATGGTGTCTCATTCTAGGCCCCACACTATTTTTCTGCCTACTGCTTCTCAGTCTCCTTAGCCTGCACCTTACATTTATCAGTCCTCTGCCCTCCTCTTCTCTCTCCTTGGGCTCCCAGACCTAACCCATCACTCACACACCCATGCTCCAGATCCACACACCCAACTGGCCCTCTCCATTTGCAACTCCCACAAGCATCTCAGACATATCTAAAATTGAACTCTTCTTCCTCTCCAAACATGGTCCTCATCCAGTGTTCTCCATTCCAGCAATACTTCTAGCATCCACCCAATTGCTCAAGCCAGGAACCTGGGGATATTTCTTGTCTCTACTCTAACACTCATGAATAACAGCAACAGCTGTCTTCCATCATGTGGCCTGGGAAACAGAGAAAGCTTATGGAAGTAAGAAAAACGGAAGTAAACACACTGAGAAGCCTGGCAGAGAATAGGAGAAAAAAAGCCTACCAGGGTTCATAAAGGGCTACATGCTCTGATTCTGTTCATGAGCCTTTGCTTAAGTCAGTTTGAGTTGGGTTTCTACACTTGCAAATACAAGAGTCCTAACCAACAAAAAGCATTGTCTGTCAGAATAGGCTAGGTTATGCTGTGGTAATGACCAACCCTCACATTTTGGTGGCTTAATTCCACCCCGTGTCCATCAGCAGCAGGAAGCTCTGCTCATTGCAGTCCCTCAGAAAGTAGCCACCAATCTTGAATGTTATTGGTCACTATTTCAGAGGTAAAGAGAAACTATAAGGGGTCTGATATCAGCAATACACTGTTCAAGCTCAGAGGCCACGTTACCTCTGTTCGTAACTCATTGACCAAAACAAGTTACCTGGCCCTACCCAACCACGAGGGGGCCACAAAGTACAATTCTGCAGTGTACCTGAAATAATTGGTGAATTACCTTAATAACTACCATACATTTCCTGCTGCCTATTCTGTGCCAAGTTCCGAGCCAAATGAAACTGAGACTCAGGAAGGTCAGATAACTCAGCCACTACACCATGCAGAATGATTCTCAGTGGTCAAGGTGGG